CAGAAACACTAACATCTTTCTCGATGAGTATATCAGCTGTGACGATAGGATGATCATCTACATCATCATCATTTTCAGTCTCATCATCTAACTTATTATCTTCATCATGGCCATCGTCACCATCGATCGAAGCATCAGCGTCCTCATCATCTTCACTATCATTACCTGGATGATCACTCCAATCGTCAAAACTCGCACAACCAAAAATTTGTTAAGAAAAACTGAAGGGATCCGAAATTTCTAGGGTTTATCGCAAGAACAGTAAGATCAAAAGAAGGTTTTTTTCTGGAAAAGTGTTTAAGTCTTATTGCTCTCGAGTTGGTAAAAGTTACATAATGAATCGCATACATCGTCTATTTATACTAATTCTCCAAACTGCCTAGCCGAGATTTTTGGAATATTTCCTTATCGCTTCGTGCGGCCACCGACTTAACGGCTCGTCTAGGGTTCTTCATGGGCTTCCTTATATAGCTCGGCCCAACTTAGGTTAATAGGGGGCTCGGCCCATGTCGCTTTATAGCTTCATCCATATCGATTCAGGGCCTGCATCGTCGCGCGGCTTGGCCCACAACATTTGTATGGTTCGGCCCATATCGCCTTGCAGCTCGGTCCATGCTGCCTTTAGGGCTTGGCCCATATCGTTTTGGGGCTCGGCCCATCCTGCTTCATGGATGGACTCGGCTTGTTTCCTCACAGAACTCGGGTCCAAAAATACCTTTTGATACTTAGTTATTTGAGATGGTTAATTCAGCTAGGGTGGAAACTGACCCCAACAGTTAGCCCACCAGCTCGTCGGTCTCGGAGACGAGAGTGATGGGGTATGAGGCTCTGAAGGCTGGACTGACCATGTTCACCGAGCCGCTGTGGTGCGGTTTTGCTAAGCCTTTTCAAGACGAAATTATACCGAGCCATTGTGCTGGTAATGTGATTCCAGTGAGATGCCAATTTATTTGACGAGGCGATTAAGGTGCCGAGCCGGCATAGAGGAATAATGACGAGCTGACGAGGCGTGTCTCGAATGACGTCGAGCCGTGTTAATGGCGAGGCGTTTTATGAGAGTGATGCCGAGCCATGTCGAAACCAATGACAAGGCATTTTGTACGAGAATACCTGTGCGGCGCCGAGCCGTGTTAACGACAAGGCGTTTCTCAAAAGAAGGCCCAGTCATGTTAACAATGAGGCGTTTTACAAGTGAAAGCCGAGCCATGTTAACGACGAGGCGTTTTACGAATGAACGTCGAGCCGTGTTAATGACAAGCGTTTTTCAAAAGAATGTCGAGTCATGTTTATGACAAGGCTCTTTTCAAAAGAAAGCCGAGCCATGTCAATGACGAGGCATTTTTCGAGTGAATGCCGAGCCACGTTAACGACGAGGCTTTTTTATGAGTGAATGCTGAGCCGTGTTAATGACAAGGCGTTTTTCAAAAGAATACCGAGTCACGTTTATGACAAGGCTTTTTTCAAAAGAAAGCCGAGCCATGTCAACGACGAGGCGTTTTTCAAGTGAATGCCGAGGCATTTTTAGTGAAGGGCACAGATGAACCATTTTTGATGACGAGAAATCACAACAGCGTCGATCCACTTAGTTTTATGAGCCATTCTCGGATGTGTAGTTGTACTGTCCGGACAGCTCGGTTAGCCTAGGATGCGTTACGCGAGATGTATATACCAATCGTCGGTTGCTCGAAAGGAAATCTCGGGTATTGGCGCGTGCAAAGGACGCACCTAGAATTTATTCATACGCCGCAGATTCCGCACGCTCTTATTTATTAATCTTTGCAGCTTCCCGAGGTCCACGCGGATCCCACGCGCCTCGGCCGTTCTATAAAAGGATGAGCCCCCCCTTCACTTCTCCCTCATAACTTCAGATCTTCGATTTTCACTTAAGGTAGCTCTCCCTTCTCTCTTCTTTCTCTCTCTATATTATTTATTTTCTGGCTAGGGTTCCGAGGCCTCCGTCGTTTCAGATCTTTTTCCGACGAACCTCGCCGTGAAGAATTGTAATTTTTGTATGAGTTGTAAAACATGTCGAACTGTTCAGATGATTCGCCAAAATCCATTTTTCACTACGAGCCGAGCCATGCAGACGCCGAGGAGAGAGGTGTAACGCGGTCTTCCGAGGCGTCTGTCTCGCCGAGCCCTTCCAATGAATCCTCTGAAGGCGACGAGGCGCTGAATTCTCCGAGTCCCTCGGGTGCTTGCTATTTAAATAACGAGGTGTCTGCTTCGACGAGATGCTCCCAAGGTCCCGTCCACAATGAAGACGTTGATTACGCTGCAGTGAAAGCCGAGGAAAAAGCGTTCCCCTTCGATCCGGTCGAGGCGAGACTTGAATTACAACGTCTCATGGCGTCTTAAGGCGCTTCTTCTTCTGGGAAGAGGAAATCTAAGCGAAGGAAAAGGCAAAGGCCTGATCCTCCTGGTTCCACGCTCTCTTCCTCTGAGTCACTCGAGGCGTTACGACACCGCTTTGGAATCTCCGAGCCGGTAGAATTCGTCCTTCTGGAGAAAAGTGACTAAGTCCACAGCCCTCCCGAGAATCACTTCACCCTGTACGAGGTGTTTTTTAAACTCTGTTTCCTTTGGTTCCCGAACCCTGGAGTAATCCTTGAGTACCTGTGGAAGCATGGAATCTCGATTGGACAGATCATGCTGAGGGGCTTATGGCATATGATTGGCATCTTGGTTCGGAGCTTTGAGTGCGGACTCGATATCGAACTGGGTCATCTGCTCAACTTGTTGGAGATTAGAAGAGCTCCGGGAGGTCTATTAGTTCTTCGTCGTCGAATTCTTCAGGAGCTACGAGAGAAAAGATGGTGGTCATTACGCTTAGGGAAAGGAAGAGGCACGTAGCTGAGGAGGCTTCCAGATGAGCCGCCCAAGCGCCTCAGGTAGAGACCGAGGCGGTTACTCGAGAAGATCCGCCCAGGAGATGACGCAACCCGAGCTGCGGAAGCAAATGTCACCGAGGCGTCCAAAGAGGACTCCGCGGCTCGGAGCAAAACGGCGACCAACTCGGCTATTCTGGCCCTCCAGAAGTCGTCAAGGCCCCGCTTTAAATCTGCTGAAGCATGACACTGGTCGGAAACGATCAGCTACTGAAAAGGGGAAAGGGGTGGCCATTCAGAAAGATGAGCCATCCAAGAAGAAACGCAAGCCAGCGTCTGGCGAGCCTACGTCGCGCAAGCTGGTCGTTGACGACCCGGCCGCTTCTGCAGTGATGTTTTCGCGTCTTAACAATGCCAACATGCGGCTTCCACTTCCCGAGCAGCTGAGGAGATCGAAATCTTATGGCGCGATGGTGCAGCGCGGCACTAAAGTTTCTTTCCCCTGTTATCTCTTTCTCTTTTTACTTCAAATTCTGGCTAAGTGTTTAACACATATCTTCCTTTGCACTTTGTAGCGGCTATCAACGAGCTGATGGCTGATTATGAGTCGGATTTGATCAAGGTCGAGCGTTGTTTGGAAGAGGCTTAGAAGGAGGCTGCGACGACTAAGGGAAAGCTGGATGAGGCGATGATTAGAGTCAAGAGGCTGGAGGAGGAAAAGATAGTCCTTTGCACTGACGTTGATAAGGTGTCGTCTGCAGTTACTCGCCTTGAGGATGCCAGGAAGGCCAAGAGTGCCGAGGTGGCGCTGCTAAAGAGGCGTATCGAGGCCAAGGATGCATTGTTCGATGCCAAGGTTAAGCGGGCTAAGGAGGAGGCGAGGCGCGAGTTGACGGCCAAATTCCAAGAGCGCCTTGCCAAGGTGGAGGAAAGTATCGCCAAGCTTCAGAAGGCCAAGAGTGACGAGAACGAACTGGGACAGATCAAGAGAAACCTTGCTATGATCGACGAGCTTCGTAAACCTGACGGCTTGACTTTAGACGCCGAAGAGGCAAAGTTAAAGAGTTGGGAGAGCGAATACGTTGATGACGAGGCGTAAGAGCGTATCACATCCGAGATCCGAGGTGAATTGGTCTTTTCGCCCGTGTTGCCTGATTCCGTGGACACCAGTCTGGGCAACAAGCCGATCGAGGAGACAGCGGCTAATCTAGTTATCGGGGATCCGACCGGGTCGAATGCAGGTATCCCAGCTCTCTCGAACCTCTTTGCCGAGTGAGAGACGCGTTCTGCAGCTTGACCCTTGCCATTCTTCTCTCTTTCAAAATGTGTACTTTTCTTTTAAATTCTCCTTCTCACGCTAAGTGTCTGGACGGTTTTATCCATCTTATGTACTCGTATTATTTTTATGATTGGTGCCTGGATGGCTTTATCCATTTCACTGTTGAATTCACGTTTTATGATCATTTTTGTTTATCTTTTTGGAATTGTGATTTTGCCTTAGTGTTTCTGTGAGCTGTTTTGGAAAAAACTCTTGTTGAGACGATCTGTTATTGGGTAATTTGCCTAAAGGGCTTTAAAGTGTTTCCCGAGGTGGGAAGAGTGTTCTTGTCAAGATCGACGATTGGGTTTGATTTGGTTACCAGTTAAACGGAAAAGAACTGATGTCTTTTAAGATATTGACTGTTCATGTCTTTTAAGATTTGGTTACCAGTTAAACGGAAAAAGAGAACTGATGTCAAAGCGTTGAGTCATGAAGTATGACGAGATGTTTAGATCGGCTCGGTTTTTGCCTACCGAGATTTTAGCTTTGGATTTCTTATTGTCTAAGTCAAAGTCCAAACCGATAACGTTAAAGAGTCGGAAATAATATAATGAATTATAATAATCATACATGTCATCACGTTTAACGACTGAATATGAGTATATAACAAAATAGTGTCGTCAAAAGAAAAACAAAACAAAATAGTGGTCGCATAAACAATTTCCAGAAATTCGTATGGCTTCCGAGGAAATTTGTCGGGAAAAATACCCCGCATAACTGAGTTCGAGAATATACATCTGACTATTCAGATGTGTTCAATAAGAATTCTTCAAGATTTAAGGTCGAATCTTCTTCCACCGAGGGGGTCTTGATGCATTTGGCTTTGTTAGAATTTTGAATAAGACAAAACAGGGAAAAAGTTCCGCTTATTTATATATTCTTCAACTCGGACAAGGAACAAAACCACACATTAAGTGACAACTCTCTTCCTTATAAAGCATTAGAGATCAAAAAGATGGCAAGAGAAACATGTGTGAGAGCTGAGCCATTTTCCCAGACCAAAGATCTACAAAGTCTGAAGAAGGCAGGACACTCATATGGCAAAACTCAAGCCTCATAATAAGCTTATTTGCAAACCATCAAACAAAACCAAAAAAACCCTCCTGCCTTTCTCCTTTTCCATTGCCAAAAGTAGTAGCAAAAAAAACAAGAAATCGAAAAAAAAATAGAAACTATCTTCCATGGGGGTAAAAAGAACCGGTACTTTCTTCAGTTTGTAAGGTTGGTTTCAGGATTCTTAAGCTATATCCTCTCTCGCCTCTTGTATGATGGACAATTTCTGCGGAAGTGATGGCCTTAGCTTCTTGTACTGTTTAAACAAAACAACGAACACGATTATTTAATCTTTTTCAGTTATAAGATGACGATCAGAGAGAGACACTAGGACTGTCGAGGAGTGTTTTTATGTCTTTTTTACCTGTTCAACAAAGGCTTTTATCTCCTCCTCTGTAAGAGCTTCATCTTCGCCATTGTTTTCATCCCAGCCGAGGGATCTGAGGAACTCGGCCTCTTTCTCATCTGGAGTGTCTGCCGCCTCAAAGCCAGTAGTATTCCTTTGACTCACTTCTAGACAACTTGTACCCTGTGGACTGGAAGAGTCACTAGCTACAAGCTCCTTTGAGGTGTTGACCTTTTCCCCAACGGAAAAAGAGATGCAAGTGCTTGTAGAGTTAACGGGATTGGTTGAGATGTTTGTTGATGTAGTTTTCTGCTTCAGAGCACTGTAAAATGCATTCCTGCTCTGAGTTTGAGCTGCGGAAGATTTCTTTTCGATGGTTTGTCCAGATGCCATGGTGAGAGTAGTAGCTCCCTTGGGTTCCTTTGGGCTGTTTGTACTTCTCACAGGTGCAGATTGTATTGATTGAGCACTGTTCATTAGATGACTAGAAGCGACTCTACTGTTTGGAATACCAATAGGACTTCCAGATTCTTTAACAGCAGCGACACCGTTTTCCCTGGCGGGTTTGAGAACCAACAGCTTCTTCTCTGATTTGATCTGACCACTAGGATTAGACAGCAAATTCCCGAGTATGATAGAGGGCTGCTGTTGGGAGTTTCTTGAAGGAGCAAGACAAGTTTCACCAGCCCGAAGCACTTGCTTTGTCTTGGATTTATCAGAAGAATTCAGAATCTGACAGATCAAATAGAACAGATATTGACTTATACGACAAGATTGGATGAGGAATAATAAGATTAACTAAGGGGAATACTAACCGAGCATTTTGGTGCTGAAGGTACAACAGGTATCAACTGCCTTGACTGCTTAATCGCCAAGTCCTCAAGTCTTTGTGTCTTCACAGATCCCTGAAAACAATGGCTATCATCTTAGAAAAGCAGAAAAGCACTTGTAAAATAAAGCTACACAAAGATGACGCAAATCATACTTGGGGAGGTGTATGAGTTCTTGCTGGAGCCTGCGCCAATGCTTCAGCCATATTAAGACCAGTTGGTCCAGTTAAAGTTCCCGTGCTAACAACATTAGCTTTCGGTGACGTTAATGACCCAGCACACGCCTTCTCGATGACATTAGGAACCTCTGCCAAAGCTGAGGTCCAACCTTCCCCACCAATCAAAGATGAGGTACCTACTGGCAAACTCTGAACAGCTGAACTTAGACCAGGAGATGAGACTCGTACAACATCTTGCCCGCCGTGCTTCTCTTCAGCTCCAAGCGACGGAAAATCCTTATCAAATCCAGTTCTCTGAAAGCTATTGCCGATGCTAGGTCCATGAAGTATATCATTCCCGTTATAACTACTACTACTGCCACCATTTTTCAAGCCCACTGAAAATCCTCGAGACAAATTGTCGCCCAGTTTCCTTGTAACCATTGAATGTGATCGACGCAATTGATCCTGATCCCTACCAGTTAAGATATTTTTGACAGGGATAGAAGTGTCGAGGTCCCATGGATCCACATAGCTTACCCTATCCTTGTCCCTGCCACGGTCCTTATCCCTCTGACTCCTATTGAAGTTGAAACTACTATATGGATGCTTTGCAGACCCATTACTAGAGCCCCTCCTTGAATTAGTAGAACAAGATCGATCCAAAAAAGGGGAATGAATTGAATCAACATCACTTTTGCTCCTAGAGTTCCTATTCCGACTATTATGTGGTAAAGATGCAGAATCTAATTTAAAAAAAAAAAATACAAAACAGTTAAAATCAGGCTATGCCACGAAAACAAAACACTAGTTAACAAGGCTAGGATCAACAAAATATTGATTAACTGCTACGAATCGAACATACCCGAATGAGAAGACGATGATACAAGAAGGTGGTTTGAACTCCCACCACCAGAAGCATGTCCTGAACTTCTCAACCATTCCGGAACTAAAGAAGGTTCACCTTTGTCCATTATGAAAGCTGCACCTCATCAGATGAAAGAAAGAAACACGCTTTCTCTAACCTTTTTCACCTCCAATAACAATAGAGAAAGCTTTTTTCTTTCTCTCCCCTTCGCACAAAATGAAGCAATGTTCTAACCTATACTAGCTTTCTCTAGCATCTAAGAGGAATCCAAATCCCTCGGCTTCTTTAACTCAAATGCAATCTTCCTCAAATACAAATTGAGTTGTCTCGAGAAAGCATCGATTTGATTAAAAAAAAACCTTCTAGACTTCCATCTCTCACACAGATAGCTAGGAAGACAATCAAAACAGCACCCTAGCAAACCCTCATCATTCGCAACCTAATTCGCACCTATAAGAAACCCTATTTCAATGCCGCAGCAACAATTCCAGTGATGAAAAACCTGACAAGAAACCCTAACACCTACGCATATATCTCTCTATTCCGTAATTATCAGTGCCAATATTTCAAAATCAAACCCAAAGGCTCTAGGGTTTCACAAAGCGGGTAGAGTCCGCTCAAACCAGCATCAACGAAAATTTATCCCTAACCCGAGACGGCGGAGGATGGAGGATGACGCGAGAGAACACAGCAAAACCCTAACCCGGAAGGAGATTTTTCGTTCAAGCGCAATAAAACAGGCGTCTTGTAGATGCAATCGCTCAATCAAAAAAGCAATCAATGGCTTTTCCACCCACACGAAGAGAAACGACCAGTTTTCCAAAACGCGATAGAAGGAAGAGAAAGAGCGATGGAATACGAAAAACTTGAAAAAGAAGAAATTATGGAATCAGAAGGAAGATGGGAAGAGGAAATTAGGGTTTTTGTTTGCGATGGGAGCGAGAAGGAAGAGTGGTAGAAGAAAGGAGGCGAGAAAAATTGTTAAAATTTGTTCTCTGTGTGTTTTATTTGGGAATTAAACATTGGATGAACGAAACGTATGAAGAAACAACAGCCTTTTTTCCTCTCCCTTACTACCCAAAAAAAAAAAGAATCAAATTAATTTAATTTTTAGTAGGTTAATTAATTTTGAAATCAATACTATTAAAAAAGAAGAGTATTTTGTATCCAAACAGAATTTTTATTTGGTTTCTACTATTTTGTTTTTGGATAACTATTCTGTTGCCAAAAAATTATAATTTTAATTTATATTTACCAAATAAGTTATTTTAGTATAATATTAATAAAATAATATATTTTTAACTTCAATTTTAATATAAATCCGAAAATTTAGTTTTTAATTTAATTTTTTTATAAATTTTCTTAAATATAGATTATATTCTCAAAAATTATAAAATAAATTATTATTATTATATCTTTACAAAATAATAACTTAAATATTAATTTAGATTAAATTTAATATTTAAATTTAAATAATATTTTTAATAACAGGAATGAAAATAATATATTTATATTTTTATTAGATAAGTTTAAAACTTAAATATTTAAAATATACAAATAATATGAACGTACATATTTAATGTTTTAATAATTTTGATTTTTTAGATTAATATATATGAACTTGTAATACTAATACCTTTTAATTGTGATATTTTTCAAATTAATAGCAACACACGAATTAGAATAATGTTTTTCTAATTGCGGTCATATATAATACTAGAAAAAAAAAATTAATAGAAACAAATTACATTTAAACAGAAATTTTTTTTATCAATTATTAGAAAATTTATATATAAATAAAAAATAGTTTATGTGCAGACACACGGGGTAGAATCTAGTTTTTATTTAAATTTAATCTAATTTGAATATTGTATCTAGGTAAATTCTGGTACATATGTTTAGGCCCAACGATAAATGAGCCCATAAACTACATTTTGTATTGTGTTTACTACAGGATGGGCACTCGGATTTTTGGATCGGATTCGGTTCGGGTTTGGTTCAGCTATTTCGGATTTTGGATATTTCAAGTTTAAAGATTTATCGGCTGGGTATTATACAAATTCGGATCGAGTTCGGTTTGAGTTCGAATCGGTTCGGGTATTTTGCTTTAGAACCGAAATTTTTCAAATATAGTTCGAATCCAAAACTATTCACAATATCTAAAATCATCCAAAAACTCCAAAAACTCCAAAAATACGAGGAAAAAAAATTCACAATAAATATTCATTTCAAAAAAACCATAATCAAAGGAGATTTAAATCTATCACTATCTTACCTTTTCCACACAGGTATGGAACCAAATTTCTTTGATGTTGTGATCATAGACAACTATCTCTCTCAACCCTGACCAGTAGGTTTCCACTCTGGCCCTGGAAGAGAAGAGATGCATTATGTTTAAGACTCGTCAGCATTCACAAATCGCCCATAGGTAGGTTTCCACTCCTATGTTTGTTTTGCTCTCCCAAACTAGATCTGACACCGGATGAACACTTTCGTGTCACCAAGCATCTGGATCAGATTGTAGTTCATGACGCTACTCTCATGCAGTAAAAACGAATTCAGAAGAAAAAGTTCTAAGATTCGGCTCAATAGCTCATGGAATCCTCATCGAATCCTCATCGAACATATGTATCCCAATCGAAAATCCCTTAGACCCAAGAATAAAACTACTCAGACATGATAAACGAAATCAAAAACATAGTATTAAAAAGTAGAACAGAAACCGAAATTGAAAAACAAAGAACAAGGGTTCAAGAGATAGAGCTTTCTCTCCCTAATACGTAAAAACAAAGCTTAAAGTAATATTTCTGTAAAGTATTTCGTCTCACTTCTTCTCTCTTTAAAAACAACCTAAATGATATGTATTTATAGTCTCCAATACTCTCTGGTGTCTAGGGTTCCGGAATTTAGGCTGGGAAAATGATATGGGCTTCAGAAATGGGTCTTCGAACTCGGAGTTAGATGGCCGCGGTTGGGATGTGCGTGACCGCGGAGAATGGATGGCTGGCTTCGGTCGGGATGGTTGTGACCGCGGGGAATGGCCTGTTGGCCGCGGGTGGAAACGTTTGCCGGCTGGTATACGGGACATCTTGCTCTTCGCGTATCTTTTGATTGAATCGTTGGATTGCCAAGCTGTAAAGTGTGCTGGAAAGCCAATACTTCCATCTTTGAGATCTCCAAATTTGAGCTGGATCAGACAGTGAGAAGACCTTCAATCGGGGGTGAACTTCTGACATTTGACTCTGAGCATCTCTGGACGTCACTTAGGGTTTCTGTGGACGTCACTTAGGGTTTCTCCAAATGAGAGAATCATTGTGGGCTTTAGAAATGGGCTTTTGGGCTCGGAGTTGGCTTGCCGCGGTCGGGAGTGCTGTGACCGCGGGGAATGAGTGGTTTGCCGCGGTCGGGATGCTTCTGACCGCGGGAAATGGCCTGTTGGCCACGGGTGGAGTTGCTTGCCGGCTGGTTTACGGGACATCTTGCTCTTCGCGTATCTTTTGATTGAACCGTTGGATTGCCAAGCTGTAAAGTGTGCTGGAAAGCTGATACTTCCATCTTTAAGATCTCCAAATTTGAGCTGGATCAGACGGTGAGAAGGCCTTCAATCAGGGGTGAACTTCTGACGGTTTGACTCTGAGCTGAAATCTGGTTTTCTATTCATTTTGTTAAGCCTTTCCCTAAGTTATCTGAAAAGAGTCTTGAAACTACAAATACTAGAAAAACGTGATAAAAGTACTTAAAAGCAACTAAAAACATAGAAAAAATATTTCAAAACGATCCATAAAAGTGGTCAAAATACGGTGTTATCAGTCTTCTATCCATTTTGTTAAGCTTTTCCCTAAGTTTCCTGAAGAAAGTCTTGGAACTACAAATACTAGAAAAACGTAATAAAAGTACTTGAAAGCAATAAAAAACATAGAAAAAGTATTTCAAATCGATCCATAAAAGTGGTCAAAATACGGTGTTATCAACTCCTCCAGACTTAAACCTTTGTTTGTCCTCAAACAAAGCAAAAGTCTAAACTGGTTAAGTGAAATCAAAAATAGGAAATGCACAAATCTCAGAGACATAGTCTAGAAAATTCTCACCAAGACACAAAAGATACTAGTCCACTTTTTCCGTCATGCAAAACTTAAACAATCTAAATCTTGATTCCAGTCAACTAGCTGTCTACATTCATTAAGTGCAATAGTGAATTCTCATTAAAGACATCATCCAGGGTAGACAGCGTTTGGCATTAAAGGGCTGTTTAAGTGGTGGAGTTAAAGTGTTTCGGGTTACCTGATGAATCTGGAGGATGCAAGATAATATGCAAAACCGCAAGAGAGATAAGGACCTGTTGATGACCGCAATTTTCAGTCTCTTCTTCTTGCCAAATGTTGTTGCCTAATCCTTCCTCCTTTATTGTAAACTGCTATTCCTTCAGACTTAGATTCTTTCCGGGAATCAGAAAATGGTCTCCAAAACTCCATAAAACCGAACTCCAGTTGCCTTGGGACTTAAAATTCGACCTCTCTAGACTATCTAAGGCTTTTATTTCCTTTCCTTTCCTTTCTTATTTCCTTTCCTTTCTTATTTTTTATTTTCAGGTTTTAAAGAGGGAGAGACTAGAGGACGAGATTGTACCAAAATTTGAGATTATTCTAAGGCAAACTGAGCTTCCTCTTATGTTGAATCCTTTCGGGAACTTTTCCGGCAAATCGCAGGTCTCTGTCTTTGGTGACTGAAAACTGCGTCGTTCCTCTTTCTCTCCAACGTTTTTACAGATATCTGCATATAAGACAATAGAAAACAAGAGTGCATGTGGTTTGAAAGAGGATTGGTTAAGGTGGGGAACTAGCTAAAGATGAACTAGCCATTCAGGATAACCAGAGAGTGGTAAAAGGATAAAGGAGTCCTGAATGTATGATTCGTTTCCCTGGTCTAGTGCTTCAATGAGAAAATTAAGTCCAAGTTAAGTCCAAATAAAACAGAGCTAGTGTATTCCTTCATCTAAATCGAAATCATTCAAATTCCTCTGGGTACTTCATTTCAAATGTGCTTAGCTACCACCTAATCTAGTCCTAAATCATGAATGAGCATGTCACTAGAAACAGTCTAAAAGCACACAGTCAACTATCATTGATTCATGTTCATCATTCCCTTTAAAACGCATTTTGTTTTGAAAAACGGTTTTGAAAAACTTTAAGGAAAATTCAAAAAGTGTAGATAATGCAAGACTCATGAAAGAAAAGTGGTTAGAAAGAGATGAAATCCTCCCCCAGACTTAAATCACACTGTCCTCATTGTAGAACAAGTCGAGATTGGATGAGAAAAATGCATAGATAATCGAATTGGTAAGGACAAAGAGAACTTACCTGGATCTGGGATGCTGGTGGAGATGGACCGGATTCATTCGAATAGGTTTGGGAAGGTGATAGGTGGTGATGAAGGTGGTGGAAAGTGATGAATAACGTGGAGTGGGGCTTGGTGAGGTGGAATGAGGTGAAGTGGGTCATTTGGGGTCGGGTTTTGTCTCAAGGACCATCTCCCGCGGTCAGGAGCCACGCGACCGCGGTGAAATGGTGTCCGGCCGTGGTCAGAATCACGCAACCGCGGTCGAAGAGCTGTTTCCCGCGGTCAGAACGCCTGCGACCGCGGAGGCTTATATCGCGGCCTATTTCCTGCTTCTCCTTGGTTCCTGCTGGGCCGAGCAGTTAGGGATCATCCTTCTTTATGGTTTTTTTTGGTTTTTTTTTTTTGGCTTTTTTTTTATTTATGAGAAACATCTGAAACTAAGAAAAAAAAAAGATCAATAGAAAAAGAAAGAAAAATCATAAAGAAAATAATACCTAAATGGGTTGCCTCCCATTAAGCGCTTCTGTATTAAGTCGTTTAGCTCGACTTTTGGTGTTGGACGTGGCTTGATCCAATGAAGAAGATCTTGTCCTGAGACAAGTCTTTTTCGACATCTCCTTGCTTTGCCTAGCAGGTTCTTCGTCACTGCAAAGTT